GTGTGCGCGCGTGGGGTGGGTAACACTGCCGACCCTGCGGGTTTTCTAACTGGCGGGCCGCCTGTCTGACCTTAAGATCACCTGGGGAACTCTGCAAAAATAGCTTCCCACCTCGCTCTAATTCAGTGGGTCTGACAAAGGAATCTGAGTTTAAAAACCCCTGCTCCAGCTCTCATTCCCTTAGGCGGCAGGATGGCCCAGATTTGGGGGGGCTGGAGGTTAACCCGGGTACAGCGGGGTGGGAGGACAGGGGACCGGCTGTGGTCGGGGAGCGGTGCGTTTCCGGATGGATCTCCAGTGGGTGAGGAGCGCGGGCACCTGCCGGCCGCACTCGTGTCCACGTCCGCCCTGGGCGCGCAGCGGGCGTGGCCCGGAAGGGAGCCCGGCGGGCGCGGGGAGGGTCACCCGGTGGCACCCCTGCCCCGGGCCCAGAGATCGTGTGCCTCCCCGCCGAGTGCCCACTGCCCCAGACGCCGGGGAGGGCTGGGGCGGGGCGGCTGTGGGCGGGGGAGACGGCGGAGTGCAGCGGGAGCGCGGCCGGGAGGGGGCAGCAGCGGCCCGCCGGCGGCCGGCCGGGTGGGCGGGGTCCGGGCGGCAGGACCGGCTCCGAGGCCGGTGGGGGGCGGGGACCCCCGGGGAGGAGCGGCGCCGGACTCCAGGGATGGGCTGGTTTGGCGTGGGACCGTCTCCTTGGCGAGCTACACCCGCCGGGTTCATTCTCTGCACACGGTTTGTGGGGGAGCGAGACGGTAACCCCGAGCTGAGCCGAGGCCCTCGATGTCCGCTGGAAGCATTGTCTAAATGTGGTGCCATCGCTTCTCGGCCTTTTGGCTAAGATCAAGTGTAGTATCTGTTCTTATCAGTTTAATAAATGTGGTGCCATGTGCAGAATGAGTGTTTTTTTTTTTTTTTTAGGGAAATGAGGGTGTGGGGATTAATAATAATTCCCTTGGCGGTGTCTAAAATTCTATTGAAGATGCGGGTTTTTTTTGGTCTTTTTGGGGGTGGGTGTGTTATTTTGATATATATAAATTTTAAAAAAATTTTTTTCCCCCATCACCATGTATTCGCTCTATGCCTCTTCCATCCCCACCTGCGTTTTTGTGCCTTAAGTACTGTCCCCTCTTCCAGGCCCCGGGAAGGAGCAATGCATTAGGACATAAACTCTGTGGAGTAAATCGATGACTTAATCGAATCTTCCTTTCTGCCAAGAGAAAGGGTAGCTCAGGAAACACAGAGCGCGAGAGCACATTAATTGGTGCTTGCTGATGGAGCCTCGGGGAGCAGTGCCCTCCTGGGGAATGTCTCAGAATGGGCTGCGGGAGGGAACAGCCAGCCAGCTGTGACTGCACTAGGGAGGACTACCGGGGTTGTTCAGTGCATTGCAGCGCTGTTGTTATTATACCAGAGGCTCCATGCTCGAAATGCATGCAAGAGGTTTGGCCCCCCCAGCCCCTCACAGCCCTGGCTTCATCTGGAAGGTCATCCTTACAGTGGTTTTGCTGTTCGGTCTAATTAGCATATTAGCTCTTTATTATATAGGACTAGAGGCCCAGTGCATGGGTGGAGTCCCTCTGCCTGGCCTGCAATGGTGTTGATGGGGCTGATGGGGGCAGGGGGCAGCCAGCAGGGGAGGGGGCGCCGGGAAGGACCCTGGGAGGTTGGTCGCAGTGGGAGGCTGGCTGTGGGAGTGCACTGACCAGCATGGGGCATCTCCATTGAGCCACTGCCCCTTGGTGGTCAGTGCGTCGTCATAGCGACTGGTCCACTGGTCCTAATGGTCTCTTAGGCTTTTATATATGTAAACAAGAGGAAGAACCTGTATTTATACTTTAATAAATTATAAAATTTGTCCGCTTGCCTTCTATGTTCTCTCTTTGAATTAGGGACATGGTATGGCATGGTATGGCGTGATAAACTTTTGAGCCAGGCCTTCCTGGCGTGGAGATCCTCCCTCCCTGCCACCCAGTGGTTACTGGCTGTGCAATTGTGGAAAACACTACTTCTGAGCCTGTCTTCTCATCTGTAAAAATGGGAAAACGGTGGCTACTTGACCGGTTGGTGTGAGTGTTAAATAGTGGATGGAAAACACCTGGTATAAGCGCTGACTTCCAGTCCAAGTGCTGTGTGAGTATGACAGTTACCGCGGAGAGCGTCCCTGTGATCTGAATTTCTGTGACTTTCTTGCTGACACCAGGGATGCTGTTGAACAAGGCCAGTCCGTAAACAAGAGCTCTGCATCCCGTCCTTCCAGACTGTAGGAATGGAAACTGTTCCTTCACACCAAGGAATAGAAAATACTCGTATGCAGTAAGGTCCAACCATAATCTGAAGACTTCTTCCAGGAATTTAACATTTGTTTATTCTTGCAACAAATTAAAAGCTAACCTGTGTGTTGCCTACAGGTCTTCACCCTAAATACCTCGAGACAGCTGGAGGAGGTCACTGGGGGAAAATAGAAACATATGTAATACTTTCAACAATAAAGAGTTATTAAAAAAATAAATACATCAAGACAGGGATGAAGTTTTATTTATCTTTTTATAGTCAGCCCCCTACTCTCATATGTAATGGGTTTCTTTACTTAAAATTTTTTTTTTATTGTTTTTTATCTAGAGAGAAAGGGAGAGGGACACACAGAGAGAAGCACGGTTGTGAGAGCATAACATTGATCTGCTGCCTCCTGCACACCAACCAACCAAGGGGATTGAGCCTGCAACCCTGGCCTGTGCCTGAACTGGGAATGGAACCGGTAACCTTAGTGCAATGGACGAAGCCCAAACAACTGAGCTGGGCTGTAATGGGTTTCTAAAAAATGTTTGTGAACACCAGTCAATATTTTTTCTAATTGGTAAAGTCAAGAATAAAATGGTGTTTTTAGGTTCAAAACTGTAGAATGAAGACTTTTGTATGCTTTTATTTCCCTCTGTTTTTCCTTCTTTTCTGAAAGTTGACTAGTATATGGGTTTGAGATCTGGGTTACTATTAAGTTATTTTTTGATGTATGTTTCCTGGTTCTTTTTTTTTTTTTCCTTTCACTTTCTGTCTTGAAATTATTTAAACAATTATTTTATACCTTTCTCTATGTCTAGTTGGTTTCAGTGCTCACTGCTAGTCCTTTTATATTTTGAGTTTCCCAATTTTGAGATCTAATTTTAAATCATCACTTGGGCAGTTGAATTTTAATATTTTTAAATGAAGAATACAAGAGTGGCAGACATTTTGAGCTTTTTTTCTTTCTTTTTAAAGAAAAAATATTTTTATTGACTTCAGAGAGGAAGGGAGAGGGAGAGAGAGATAGAAACATTAATGATGAGAGAGAATCATTGGTTGGGCTGCCTCCTGTAGGCCCCACACTAGGGATTAAGCCTGCAACTGGCAATGTGCCCTGGCCAGGAATTGACCATGACCTCCTGGTTCATAGGTCGATGCTCAAGCACTGAGCCACGCCGACCAGCTTGCGCTCCTTCTGCTGTCTCCTCTTAAAAACTAAAACTTACCTGCTAGTGAAATACTGGAGTCTAAATCTTTTCCATGTCAAAAGTCTGCCTATATTGCTCTATGGTTGTGGAGGAAAAGATCAAGGTCAGCCTGTTTTTTATCCATTTATAGATAATCCATCTTCTTCTTCTTCTTCTTCTTCTTTTTTTTTTGTCTGGATGTATATATAAAACACATTTTTTAGTTATTTATAATCTAAAAACCTGTGAAGATATTTCTGGGTATGAGTCCTTCTTATTTATTTTTACCTGGAACTCATTAGTGAACCCATTTCATTCACCTCAACTTCCCTTCTTCCCATCTCTTTTTGAAAAGTTTTCTTTAATTTTATCTTCAGTGATTGCTTCTCTTTTTGATCATCTGGATTCTTCTTCGGAAACATAATTCTTACACTGGATCTCTAGTCCTCGTCTTTCATAGATGTCATCTTCTTTTTAAATTATTGTATTTTAGTGAATCTAAGACAGTATTGATTCTATGTAAGAAGCTCTATCATTTTATGTGTAACTAAGCAAGAAAAATGCTGCTAATTAAAAGATGCTGTAGTGCCAGGATTAGAGTCCTGTGAAACTGGCAAGTTGATCATACCAGCTTCTTTTTTGCTTCAAATGTGTCTACTTTGAGAGATTTGGCAGTTTCTCCTGCTATTAACCGCACTGTTTGGCATATGACAAGCAATCCTTTTTACACACGGATCAGTTACAGAACATAACAGAACTTCTACTTAAGGATAACTTCTTTTTCCTTTTTTGAGTTCTGTAAAGAACTTGTTTTTTCTTTAAAAAAACAACAACAAACTTTCTCCAACAGCAGATATTTGCATCAATAATATAAAATTGCACCCCACTGCTCTAATTCCATGCCTTTCTGCATACACAATGCTTCTTGTTTCCATGCCAAATCACAATGTAATCTTTTAAAAGACGTTTGCAATGGCAATTAAACTCACATGTAATCACTTATAACATGAACACTGAGCCCAGGTTCCCCATGCTCAGGACTTGACAACCCACCATGACAGCCCTCTGGTCCACAGTGATTGTGAGATGCCACTGACTGTAAGGCTTATCTTGATTTTCAAAGTGTTAACATGTGGAAAAATGGGTGTCTTACAATAGATAAGTTATGATAGTTTCAATTATTGTTCTCTTTCTTGGCATCTTGAAAGTGTTTCTCAAGTTTTCCATCCGTAATTACTTGTTTGATTTTTCTGCCATGTCAATTCCACTCATTTTATTGCTTCCTATATATGGCTTTTAATTATTGTTTAATACTTTTATCTTCTTGGAAATTAAAAAAAAAAATCAAAACCAGCTTCCCTTCCATGTTTTCTGGAAGACCAAAATTGTTTTTTATAGTCCCGAAGCCCCTTGATACTTATCCAGCTATTGAGTTCTAGTCAATGGAATGGGAATCTGAGTGATGTCTGTGACTTACAAGACTTCCACATAAGAGCATTCAATGAGCCTCTCCTTCATTCTCTTTTGCCCCCATTCTAGCTGAGGGCCAGGAGATGACAATAACCACCTGGGAGGCCACCTGATGGTTACCCTGGATGCCCAATGGTAAAGAGCTGTTCTTGGGTTATTTTGTAAGTGACAGATCAACTTTTATTATATTTCTTCCAATATACAAATGTTGGCTGTATTTGTACAGCAGATGAAGTTACTGTAATAATTCAGATTCTGAAGTCATTATGTATCTTTTCTAAAATATTCTTACAAAATTCTTGCAAAATGCCTAGGAGAACTCACCTGGATTTTGCTTTCTTAGTTATTTACTGTTGCTGCAAAAAAAGAGACTAACTTGGACAATGAAACTTAACTTGATCAATGAAATTATCTCAAATGAGATAATAAAGTTATTATTGCATTTTAACGTTCCCATCATTTCTGCTAAAAAAAAAAATAAAGTTTCAGAATACCATCTTTCCCCATTGAGTGTTCCCCATGTCGTGTTCTTTTGCTCAGATATTTGATAAAGAACAAGGGGTTGACACCTGGGTGGATAATAACTGACTATTGTTTAATGTTTCAAATAAACTATTTTTAAAAACTCCACTTCTTAAACTAACTTCTGTATCTATGTCCTGAAAGGTCTATATCACTGTTATTTTAAAAGAATCACAATGAGGCTTAGCATAAACAAAGAAACTCTCTCCTATTACATTTTTGTTGGAAATTATAATGTCATCCCAGGTGACAGTCTTTGAAGCTTATCCTGGTATCAGTTTATCTCAGCTTGTTTTCCATATAGTTTTAAGTTTCAACTTTATAGGGCCACATCATGGTTTTTTTTTTAAAAAATATTATAGATGTCAATTTCCTACAATTTTCTTCTGGTTTCTATAGCAAATCTTCTTCAGAGGTGTGTTCTTTATTTTAGTCTTCTGGGTGATGTTCTCTTTCCTGTGTGTAACATTGTTTTTCTGTAGATCCCATAGCGTTCCTGCACCCCCTCATTTTAATTACCTTTAAGCAAGTAGAGCTCTATGGAGACTTGGTGTGTGCTAATGGAGAGGAAGTATGGTTGTTATTGGTTCTGCTCACTGTCCTATTCTTTAGGTCTGTAGCTGGAGGGCCAGTTGAGGTGCACAGATCTTCAGCAGTTTCCAGAATTGATAGGATTCATCTTGTGAGCCCTACTGAATGGATGTGGGATCTCCTACCTATTCTCTGTCATACAGAACTGACGGAGTAGGTGAAATCTGACTCTCTTGCACCAACTGCCTCTGGCCTGCCTATGAAGCATCAGCTGTGGGAAAAGCATCTTCCAAAATGTGCTGGGCCATTGCCAGTTCTTTTCCACTTCCTGCTTCATGGTTTCCAGGACTAGGAGCTCTGAAGCTGTTAGGAGCCCAGACCCTTCATTTACTCTTGTCCTCTGCTCCCCTCTGAAAGAAGCATTCATTGTAAACAAAGGCCTGGTCAGGACATACATGGGACTTTGTCTGCTTCTCCATGTGCATGGGGTAAGATGGATGCCTCATAGCTCCCAAGCTCTCTTCTTCTTCATTTGAGAAAGCCAGCTCAGATGGATGGCTGCCTCTCCTTGCCTGGGTGTATATAGGTATGTGAAGATAGCAGTATGACTGCTGGTTCCATCTAAGGAATGGAAGGCAGTTCTCAGAGAAAGAGGCTCACTGTGACCTGGGCAGAATCCCTAAATGTGTTTACCATTCCCAGCCTTTGGGACAAAGCCCATTAGGTCATGTCACGGGAGGAGCTGGAGTACCTGCCAAGATCGTTCTCTTGGCTTATGAGTGACCTGGTGGAATGGAGCACCAGTCTTCCCATTGAGCTGTGGGTCTTGGGGGGCTCTTGTGAGGAGTTGCTGAGTAATTTATAAGTCTGCACACCTGCATCTCCAGCTGTTTCCCATTACATTTTCCTTGGTGTTGGGCCCACTTTCCTTGAATCAGAAAGACTCTTTAATATGAAATCCACATTTTGCAAACCTTCTTTTTAGCAGTGGCTTTATTTGGAAACTAAATCTCTCTTTGATTCTAAAGCAGGCCCAGTCACAACTGGATATGGCACACTTGCCACCATTGCTTTTCTTATTTTGAGGGTAGAAATGAAAACATGTTTCTCATGGAAACATTCAGTGGAAGAGATTGGCCTAGGAGTCTGAAGTCCTGGATTTTAACCTTCTTTTTAAAAAATATATTTTTTATTTATTTCAGAGACTAAGGGAGAGGGAGAGAGAGAGACAGAAACATCAATGACGAGAGAGAATCACTGAGCAGCTGCCTCCTGCACACCCCACTCTGGGGATCTAACCTGCAACCCGAGCATATGTTCCGACCAGGAATTGAATCATGACTGCCAGGTTCATAGGTCCATATCCAACCACTGAGCCATGCCGGCTGGGCTGGGTTTTATTCTTGACATGGCCCTTTTACATAAAACTTCAAGACTTTGGGCAATTTTATCAATGCACCCAAATCTCAGTTTTTAAATGAATTAAGTGGGGATAATAGCACTTTGTTTACCACCTATCAAGTGCTTTAAATATAATAAAATATCTCTAAATATAAGGCATATTTATTTCATGACATTGAATGGATTATTCATAACTTTCCAATAATATTTCAACGGTTAAGAGAGATTTGTAGTGTGACATCGGGAGGAGAGGTAGGGACTTAGAGTGTTAACTCCTCTAATAGTATAGGTAAGCCCGAGGCAGAGCTGGGGCTAAGCATAACATTTTGGTCCTGATCCTCACCCACCTGAGGTCTTACACTCGAACACAGATCTCCTCCACATCCTTTTTCTTTCTAACAGAACTTGTAGGAAGTTTTGTAGTTGAGTCATTCTGATCTGGGATCCAGGAAGAGACTGCAAGTTGAGCAGCGCTCTTGACCGCAGCACACACGATGAGCAATTCTGTGTGCATCCTGGACAAGACCTTGGAGCTGGAAAGTGCTCACTGGGTGTCAGCGTGTAAGCTTTTTCTCCTCTTCCTTTATTCAGTCATATACTGGGGTAGTGAGGGACTCAGTAACACTAAGTGAGGCAAACCCAGTGGACAGTTTTCTCTTTCTGTGCCTTCTAGAGACTTTGTGAGGATGAATCAGGGTAATATGAAGTGACAAAACCAAGAGAAATGAGGCCTCACTCCCTTTGGTTTTGGTCTGTGGAGAAAATGTGACATGAAAAGCAGAATGAGTAGGTTCCTCATCATAGCACTTGACCGTTTGTGAGGGCATCATGGGTCCTGAGTCACAGGCCCTTCCAAACAGCCCATGGACTGGGTGTTGTTATTGCCACTGCTCTACAGTTGAGGACTCTGGCGTTCAGAGACATGAGGTCACATGCCCAAGGTTACACGGTCAGGAAGTACTGTCAGAACTGGGACCTCATTCCGGGTTTCTTCCTCTTGACATCCATCCTCTCATGCCCACATGGGGAGTTTTAAAACGCTGATACCTTTATCCTGCCCCCGCAGACTCTGAGTTATCTGGCGTTGGTCCTGCCTCATTATTTATATAGCTCGCTTCATATGTTCTTGATAGCACTGTTACGTTTTCAACAGTTACCAACATTCTTTTCCTCTGAGCCTGGCACTTTGTAGAACAAGGGGTCCCCTTCTTTCATCCTTATAATTGCCAAGTCGAGATCCTTTAATTTACTTAAAGTTTTATTTATTTTTAGTTTTCATTTTGAATTAATTTTAGATTTAAGAAAAGTCGTACAATGATAGTACAAAGACTTCTCATACACCCCTCACCAGATTCCCCCAAATGGTAACATCTCATATAACCTAGAGTAACTTGACCTCAACCAGGAAATTAGCATGGAGACAATGCTATTGTCTAATGTGTAGGCTTAATGAGTTGCCTTTGATTGTCCTGTCTGCTTGGGCTCTTTTCATTTGGAACAACTCAGTTTTAACTGGCCCTTCATGACCTTTCCACTTTTGGAAAGTCCTTCCTAGTTTATCTTCTAGATGTGATGTTTCCTTCTGATTTTAAGACAGGCTGTGCTTTTTTTTTCCCCTCACTGGAGGATATTTTTCTCCCACTGATTTTTAGAGAGACTAGAAAGGAGGGGGAGAGACAGAGACAGCTTCCCAGTTTGGAAGTTTAACTTTTAAGCTGCCTTTAAACTTCCAAATTGGGAGAGACAGAGAAAGAGAAACGTTGATATAAGAAAGACACATAGATTAGTTGTCCCCCCCACAGGCCCCCCCCTCCCCCCACCGCCCCAACACGCCCTGACAGGGGCCAGGGATTGAGTTTGCAACCAAGATACATCCCCTTAACTGGAATAAATTCTGACATCCTTCAGTCTGCACGCTGATGGTCTAACCACTGAACAAACCAGCTAGGGTCAGGTTATACATTTTTTGGCAAGCCTACAGCAGAAGTGATACTGTGGCCTTATCAGAGCCTCATGCTGGGTGGCATGCAATCTGTCTCTGTCTTAACAGTGACGTTAACCATGATCCCTTGTTTAAGGGGTGGGACTGCCAGGCTTCTCCACCATAAAGTTACTACTTTCACGTTTGTAATAAATAAGTATTTTATAAGGAGATACTTCATAAATATGCTGTTTCCCTACTGATTTAAGGACTCATCAATGATTGTGCCTAAAATAATCATTACTGGGGAGTTTAATTCATGTATAAATATAAAGATAATATAATTATAAAGCAAAAATGAAAGAGCCTTATAGGCACATGGGCAGAATTGAATTGAAGCATCCATCTTGTATGAAAACTGCTGTTTGAAAATTTTAACCCTGCTATTTGGCTTCTGTGGATTTAACCTTCCCCAGACAAGGTCATCAGTGCTGGCGCCAGGCCAGGCCTCTGGTTGAGGTCTCAAGGCCCAAGTACACACTGGCTTTTTAAGAGCTTGCAAAAGGGGCCGGAAACACTCCATATTTGGGAGATTAAGAGGGTAGGATCATATAAATAGGGAAAATTCCTGCATATTGGGGCCCAGAATTTGAGAGACATTTTCCTCTGGACCTGCACATAATAAATGTAACTGCTTCTCTCTAAGTATTGCTTTATTCTTCTTCGGTTTTCTGTAACAGGATCATTTTTTAAAATATGTTTTTATTTATTTCAAAGAGAGGAAGGGGAAGGGATAGAGACTAGAAACATCAATGAGAGAGAAACATTGTTGATCAGTTGCCTCCTGCATGCTCCCTATTGGGGATCGAGCCTGCAATGGAACAAGTGCCCTGAATGGGAATTGAACCGTGACCTTTTGGCTCATAGCACAAGGCTCAGTCACTGAGCCACACTGGCCAGGCTCACCTCTTACCCCCGGAGCT